ACCACTTACATAATCTTATTCCAGCCTTATTTTTTTACACCCAAAGATGAAATGGCATATACCAGTTTTAGAAAAGTGAGGTTGCTCTGAAAGTTCCCTCTCTCTCCCCATTCCAGCTGGTGCTGCATATTAGAAGGAAAAGTGAAATGTTAGACAAGATGTTAATTGACAGCTCCCCTCCCTCCCCCACAGCTTCATCAAGAAACCTCCGCACCCATTCCTAGATATATTTTTCACTGAAAAATGTTTTTTTGGAGAACAAAAGGGATAGTCCTGAATTAAGAAATAAGGGCATAGATATTTATGCAGTTCTTTTAAAGTTGTGCACAGGGCACTCAAAACATGTGGTTTGAGGAAAACAAGACAGCTGTTGACATGCATACCTGTCAGCTCTAGCTGGGACCTGTTAACTAGCACCTTCCCCCCCCCCACACACACACAGAGTCTAGTGCATATGTGCACACATACATAGTGGAGCGCCTTCCTACTGACTAACAGGTACTTTCCCTGCATCCTTTCTACAGCCAGCATTGCTCTGCTGGCCATTTCAAGGTAGTGCTTCTTGCTCTTCCCTTTTCTCTGCTTAATGAATTGCTAGCAGTTGTTCTATGAAGATCTGAGTCACAGATTAGTGTACAAGGCTATAATGAGGGTTTTGACTAGATATATGTTTAAAATGTTTGCACTTTTAGCAAAGAAAAGTGTGTTTTTTCAAGGAATTTCCTAGTAAGAATGTGAGAATACTGTATGGTGGAACAGTTAAAGACAATGGGCTGTTATAGCACATTAATCATCTGTTTGAAATGCACTTTTAGATAATGATACTGAATTTTTCCAAAGACTGAAAATATTTGCAATTAAACAGAACCTTTCTTGAGAGAAACCTTGTCTCAGTGGGGGCTTATACAGGAGATCCTGATTCCTCTTAGTAATTGTCAGGATGCTTCCTTCACTGAGAATCTGGTCAGTGTCCAAAAAGAGCCTCTTCTTATTTGTATTGTTGTACTTGCTTTCTTCCGCAAACGTTCTTGGTGGGACTGAGATCTGAACAAATGCTCCTGCTGCTTACAGAGCTTTTGAAGTTCTACAATGAATCACTGGATGCCTCTCAGAAGGAGGCTGTTTGCTTTTCACTGGCACAGAAGGAACTGGCTATCATCCATGGACCACCTGGAACTGGCAAGACAACAACTGTGGTGGAGATAATACTCCAAGCTGTGGAGCAAGGCTTGAAAGTGAGTGAATGAATACAATTTCTGAGGAACTGCCCACTGCCAGGTCAGGATGATGACTGATTTAGCCTGGGATGATGTGACAGCAGGTCTCTGAGGCTCTCAAATGATTCTGAGGCAGGAACGGAAGGTGAACTTTGCCATTCAAAATGATGCCTGTCTCACCTTTCACCTTTGGTTAAAGCAGGAGTTGGGAAGTGGCTGGCTGCGGGAGGGGCATTGCCTACAAGGCTTCTAAACAGGCCTGCAGCCTCCTTCATGCTTGCAAGCAGCACTTCCTCAGTGTTTTAAGTCCAATATGGCAGGTGAATTGGGAAGGGTCACAATACATGCAGATGGCTATCACACTTCTCTCACTTAGAGTATTAGAAATGGCACAATTGTAAAACTAGCAGAGTAGACTAGTATATGTATGTGTGTGAGAGAGAGGGAAAGTGATGGATGGGGCTTTGGAATCGCAAAGAGCTGGCAAAATGCCTCATATTTGTGTATAGGCACCTAATCGTACTCTCCATTATTAATTGCAGTAATGCTTGAAAAAAACAGTAATGGAGCTGATGAAAGGCTTGCACATATGATTGTGTGGAATTGTATGTGAATGTTTGAAAGAGCGTTATGTGCAAGAATGATGTACTTATTATTGTGTCTAAAAATATGAGGATGCTTGGTAGCTCTACCCTTCATTTTAAAAGGGGTGTATGTAGTCAAACAGTAGTTTGATACTCTAATATAATTTAAGTAAAAGGTTAACTGGCCTCTTTTTAATGAGCAAAGTGGCCAAAAGGTTTGGGGGTGGGGAATCAGGAGAGAGGGAAGGGATAATTTTACAAAGAGAGAAAAGAAAAGGAGATAAACTGTAAATATAAAACAAACAAAAAAGAGACATTGGTAGCCCTTATGACAAAATAAACTATGGTGATATTATTAAGCTCAGAGGAAGAGTTTTGTTTGGGAACTACAATTCCCAATGCTCTCTGTTCACAAAATGTTATTGTTAAATAAAGTTTTAATTGTTTATAATCAATAGACCTCGGGGTAAATAAGAATCTGAATAAAGTAATCCTCTCTCCCATATCCAAGATACTATACTTCTACAAAAAGAAACAGTAGAAGATAGGATAACATCAATATAAAATCAAACCTTAACACAGAAGCAAATAATTTTGGTTTGGTGGCAGTGGTACTTTAAAATCTATGCATTTGTCCTCAATACATTCAGAAGAAATTATGTCATGAGAATGGGAATGGGGATATAATAGAAACCTTGGAAGATTCCACAGAATAGCCTTCATCTGGCAATATCAAAGATTAGATATGGGGTCATACGAGGCCTGAGTCTCCCTCTTTACAGAAGTAGGTAGTCAAACTCAGCAGAAAGATACATAATTTTATTTCACAAATACAAGTTTTTAAGAGTCACTGGTCTCACCACTTACATAATCTTATTCCAGCCTTATTTTTTTTCAGTGGGTCTAAATATCATAGAATTAATAGCTGGATGAATGACAACCATTTTTCTGAACCTGAGTATTGGCACAGTGTAAGGATATAACCATGTTTATCTTATAGTCTTTGTTCTTTGTGCTGGATGATATTCTTATTTCCACTTAGAAGCTAGGAAAAATGTTTGTAAGTGTTATTAAAATCATCCAGGTTACATATATTTCTAGAAAATCAAAAATCCTTGTTTTCCCTGCTAATCTCATATTTATATTCTTGGCTGAAGCACAACTGTTTCTGCACAGAGGAGTTCCTGGATCTTTTGAGGTTCAGTGAGATGTAGGAACAAAGCCTTGGAATTAAAGGCTATTACGAGGCACATAAAGGGAAGAGACAAAGCTGAAAGATCCTTGGCAGGTTAGAGCTTAAATTTGGCTGTGGCTAGTATTTCTAGGTAACTTTTGTCCTTGATCCTGGCTTAATCCTTTGAAATTGCATTGTTCTTTTTAGCTCAGATAGAAGTCTGAGATAGAATAAGAGTCCTAGAAATTCCAGGTCAAACCCTGATCCAACTCTGACTTGAGAATAATCTCTTTTCCTGGCAGTTATAAAATAACCTTCTTTCTGCTCCTTCTGGCACTGATGCTTATGGTGTTTCTGTAAACTATAAATCTGAATCTCTGTTAAGACTGTAGCTTTTTCAGTTAAGTGAATTAATACCTTTTTAAACACATATTTTTCCTCCTAGGTTCTCTGTTGTGCTCCCTCTAACATTGCAGTCGATAACTTGGTGGAGAGGCTCTCTGACCATAAGATGCGGATCCTGCGTCTTGGTCGCCCGGCTCGTCTCCTGGAGTCCGTACAGCACCATTCACTTGATGCTGTCCTGTTGCGTGGGGATAATGCCCAGATTGTAGCAGATATCAGGAAGGATATTGATCAAGCATTTGTAAGTCTTGTATTCCATTTTTACAGCCAGTTTTTTTTAACAATCTGTAGAATAAATTGTTGGATTTACAGTGTTCTGTGTAACATGTGTAACATCATGATAAGTACTGTGCTATGCAGGATTGATTATGTAAAATACTAGTAAGCGTCTTGTCTTGAAATGGAGGAAAAACTCCCCAAGTATATAAGCAGTGTTGGGCTGAATGGATGAAACTAAAAATATCTGTACCTTTGTAACTGACTCTTACATAGTGGGAAGTTCTGTAGAATGTTCAGGATTCTTCGGGATCCAGTCACGTTTCCACTGTTTTCCTAAGTTTTCCACCACTGTTAATAGCAAATCCATTTTTCCATAGGTGATGGTCAGTTTGTCTCCAGAAGGAGCCATACTTGGGCAATAAGTCCAGAATTAAAATACTGTCAAGGTAGACAGCACAGTGCTCTCAAACAGCTCCCAGCACATGCATGAGACTACCTAGCCCTTGAAATGTTTATTTAACTTAATTTTTTAAAAGTTGGCTGGTAGGAAAGCCACTCTCCAGCCTCTTCCCATTTCTGAGGATGCCCTGTAGACTTCATTAAAACATTCTTCAGAAACTGGAGGAGATGGGCTGCTGGGGGAGAGCACTCTACTGTCTGATAAGTTTAACTTGCTAGTTAATCCTTTTTTTTGAAAAAAGGAAAGAATGAACAGATACTGCTTAATAAATATTAAAGATTGTGCAGGGAGCAGCTTGGAGGGTTGGGAAGGAGCAGAAAGGAATTGACATTATAGGTATTCTCTGAACTCTGTGGAGCTCCTAAGAACCAAGGAGGGATTGAACAGCATAAGTTCTTCCTTACTAGAACCTCATGTGATCTGTGGCAGCACTGCCTTTAAAGTTTGCTTCTACGATTATTTCCAGGCCAAGGCTGAATCATTTAGCTGACAGAATAAATAAGAGGCCTGCTTCCCAAAAGGCCCATTGATATGAATTGACCTCCCCATTTCTCTATTTCTTTGAGACTCTCCAAACAGAGATTGCAATTTTAAGTTGTATTCATAACATTGCAATTTAAAACTGATAGAAAAAAAATCCAGAAAATAAAAAGCATTCCACATTTTCCCCTTTTTCCACCCCATTTGCCTTGTAAAACTGGTAAACAGAGTCGTGGAGCTATATCACGCCCTCTTTATTTAATTTTCTATTTTACATTTATTGTTCAATGTGGCACTATTTGAGATATGTTTTAATTCAAATTATTGTCTTTTCTGGCCACCAGGCAGAAGATAGCTTGAGAACTCTATTATAATCTCTGTGTTAGGAGGCCGCCCGCTGTCACACTGAGGGATGCCTGTGAGGGCTGGCAGGCCAGAGCATCCAGTTAGGCTTTGCTGTTTGCTTCGCGCCTCTTCAAACTCTGGGCAAATTATTTCTCTTCGGCAGGGCTTAAGCCCTGTATTCATGTAGCGTCACCAGTTGCATTTTTACTTTTGTCATTTTATATAATGTTTTATTCATAAACAACTTTGCTGAATTGTCTTTCATATGCATCTCGTCATAACACAGAAAGCGAGAGCAGAAGTAGAGCAGGGTGTTTGGTGAGAAGCCAGCTGCAGTCCAAAACATCCAACACAGCAGTACTGGAACCATCTCCTAACCTTAGTAGCTTTGAGACATACGAGTAGAAAAACAGTCCCTTTGAAATGATAAAAACAAAACCATCAAGCTGGGGCAGGGTGGAAGGTGAGGAATACAAGGCATTTAGCATTGATAAAATCACAAATATTCTTCAAACATCAGGCTCCCATAGAAGGCTATGGGGAAACTGGACACAGACCCAGATGGGCAGGAACTGAAGCTCAGATAGCTTTGTTGGAACCAAGCCTATTAAGACTGGCATTTGCACAAAGACAATATGCAGCAGAGTAGCATGCCTTTAAAAAAGTCTGAACGCAAGTCCTGGCCTACAACTTCTATTTCACCCCAAGAGAGGAGGGATCACTTCCTCAGCTAGCTGGTCCAAATTAATTCCGGATTCCCAAAGATTGCGATCTTCAGTCAAAATTTTAGGAGCACTTCCTCTTAGCTCCTGCTGATCACTAGAAATTTCTGGCTGAGGTTTTGGAGCCTTATCTTGCCTTTAGCTCAGAAGCGCTTAGCTCTGCTCATACCAAGGACATTGTCCATCTAAAGTCTCTGATTCCTCCCTGCCCAAGCAGCACCTTTCTTTGCTCTCTAAGGATCTTTGGGTTCCAGTCATGTCTCTATCTCACCTCCAGTCCCAGAGACACCCAGCTTCTCTCCTACCACAGTTCCCACTCACTCAAGCATTGCTCAGCTTTCTTCTTCTCCTGAAGACTAACTCAACATGGGGCTGTTTACAGTCTCCATCTTGGTTACTTCTTTCCAGTAATCTCTCTCTCTTTCCCTTCTCCCCCTCCCCCAGGTTTCTTTCTCCTTCGTCCCCTTTGATTCACTCTTCCGGGTATCCCCTTTCCCTTTGTTTCAAGTCAAAGCTTTTTAAACAGAAGAGAAAGGACTGGGAACCTCCTTCTGGAATTACTGGGACAAATTCCACACACACACACATAGACACACACACACACAACCTCTGGAAGCCAGGTTTCCAAAAATGCCAGAGCTTTTGTACTCTCTAACCAAAAGGGAGGACTGTGGTGTACATACTTGCATCTGAAGTCATGATGGATTCTCCTGCCTGTTTGTTCAGGCATCTGGGATATGTGCATTGGCCATCTGATTGAATGGGGAGGAAGGAAGGGTCAGTGTGAATTTTGGGGGTTTGCCCATTCAACACAATCTGTTGACCTACTGAGGTCAACTTAAAGATTACTCCTTTTTGTGAATATTCAAGATAAAGCAGGCAGAGGGGAGTGGCATTTATGTGAGGGTTGAAAGCAGAAAATGTTAAGAGGCTTGCTTATTTGATATCTTTTAAATTCTGCTGCATTCAGTACTATGAGAGTTCTGTGTTTTCAGTAGCACTGTTTAATACAATTCAACTTAAGATTCTCTGTAAATTTTAATGTTATTTTTATTGTTTGCTTAGTCCTTCTCAGGGCTAGAAGATTGATTTTAATAAAATATAAGGTTCGGGCAATTTTGACAGTAATCTCTTCCCCAAGAATAGCTCAGCTCCAAACTGTACATTGTACATTTCTGCAGCAAGCTTGCAATAGATTACTAGTTGTACAATATCCCTGGAGAACTTGAAAGGGTGATGAAAGAAGGGTGTGGGTCAAGGATTGATTGGCTTTTACTAAATGGAAAGCCAGATGCCTTTGCATTGCACTCACCATTCCCAGTATCCTCGAAGTCATTTTCAGTAACTTTCTTGATTGGGCCAAAATTAATTATTCAGAGGAGTATAAGGGACTTATAATTTATACACAGAGACCATAAGTTCTTCACTGTTTCTCCCACTGGGAAACAAGGATCAGATGGGACAGTGGCCTCCAGTCCTCCCATAGTCCTCCTGGTGATGATGATACATCATAGTGTCGCATGTTTCATTTGTGCTATTTTGTAAGAAACTAGAACATCGCTTTAAACAGAAAAAAAGTGGCAAGCCCTTTGGCAGCCTTCTCTTTAAATACTAAGTCGTTTCTGTTCTAAAAATTAGCCTTTCCATTTTTCATCCTGCCTCTGAAAACTGTATTTTTTCCTCCAGCCCTTTTTGCTTGGCCCCATCCTTGAAATGATCAGAAAAGAAACTGGTGCAAGGTATAGGGATCCCTGTGTAGGAAGAGATCTATACTGGCTGCCAGTTGCCCACTGGACATAATTTAAGGTGCTGGTGTGGAACTTTGAAGCCCTATATGACTCCAGGCTTGACTATTTGAGAGACTGCCAATACCACCATGAACTTGCCCACTTAGCTATGTGGCAGAAGAGGCTCTTTTGAAGAGGCCCCCACTGCCAGAGGCATGGCAGTTTGGTTTTCAGGAGAGGACCTTCTGTGCGCTCCAGGCTATAGAATGTTGATTCCACTGCAGCGTTTTTCATCACTGCAACTTTAAGATGTGTGGACTTCAACTCACCAGCATGCTGGCTGGGAAATTCCGGAAGTCCACACATTTTAAAGTTGCTAAGATTGAGAAACACTGCTCCAATGAGATGCATTTGACTCCTGTTCTCCCATTGTTTAGGAAAATGGCAAAAAGATCTCTGTTTCAGTTTTGACTTTTGACTGTTAATTGATTTTAATGATACTGATTTTCATGTTGATTTTAACTATGCAGTATGGATTTTATTGTTTTATATTATATTTTTTCCATTCCTGCAAACTGCTTTGAATGTTTATATAAACAGAAAAGCAAGTATACATTTAAAAATATCAAGTACTTGATGAATACTGCTGTCAATTCCTTCAGTTGCCATAGGTTCATATTGAACTACAACTCCCATTGTTCCCAGCCAGGATAGCCAGTTGATGGGATCAGATTGGACTGATCCAAGAAGCATTTGTGATGTTCTAATAGCATTTTTATGAGAGAGATTCTGCTGCTGTAACCATTACCTTGGCTACTAAATATGTGCTGTGATGAGACCTCTGTCTCTTTTATGCAGATGAAAACCAAGAAGTCCCAAGACAAAGGAGAGAGAAAACATTTTTTTAATGAAATTAAAATACTGAGAAAGGAGCTGAAGGAGCGAGAAGAAATGGCTATGTCTGAAACCTTGCAACAAGCTCATGTTGTTCTTGCAACAAACACAGGTTAGGAGAATGTTTCTGGATTTGCCTGTAAAGTTTAATCAACTAATCACCTATTACCAGTCTAGCTGCTCTACTTTTAACCATGTTCTACTTAAACTCCCAAACTTCATAGTATAACTCTGAACTGTTTCTTACCCCAGTATCTGTAATCAAATACAATAAGCAATGCACTGTATTAGCATCTTGCTACCTAATTTACCTTTTCCTTTTGATCATCAAGTTTTACTCTGTGATTGGGTGACTTACATAACTAATGAATACTATGTGAATTCGAACAGCAGACACAATTCTGCTGTTCACATTTTACAAAGCATTGCTTGCAGCTTCTGTGTTCCATTTAATGAAGGAAAGGAATTTATGCATTATTTATACAAAGAATTAAGCCCTTGAACTAACAAAGCAGTGAATTTACTTCTCTTTCTAAGTGCATGCTCATATGTGTGGCCTCTTGGAGAGGGCTCAACCCAACCGCACTTATTTATGTTTGGGGAGCTGTTTCTGATCCCATAAGGATAATTTTCAGGAAACCTTGCAGATAATTTTGTATAAAGAATGCACATTAAAATGTGTCATGTACAAAGATGATTTATGAACACAATACCAGTTCCAATTTCAATTTGAAAACTATATATAAGGGAGCTGGGGGTTGTTCCTGAGGCCTTGCTGCACGGTCCAGTGGAGGTTCTGGCCACAGCCTGGTATAAGGAGGAGTCTGGGGCCTTGGACAGGATCACTCCTGTACATCCTCTCTTGACCCATCGCCCCTGGCACTCCCTGTGGTTTACGGAGGAGTTAAGGATGCTGAAAAGGGCCAAGAGACATCTAGAGCGCCGCTGGCGGAAAACTAAGGACAAGTCTGACCGAACACGGGTTAGAGCTGCTGTTAAGGCCTACCTCGTGGTGGTAAGGGTGGCGAAACGCCATTATTTCTGCACTCTTATTGCATCTGCAGAGTGTCGCCCGACAGCCCTGTTTCGGCTGGTGGGGTCTAGGAAGAGGCCCTTTTCTGCCGTGGCCCCCGCCCTGTGGAAGAGTTTGCCAGCTGAGGTGCAGGCTGCCCCCACTCTCCTGGCCTTCCAAAAAGGTGTAAAAACATGGTTATGCTGGGTGGCCTGGGGGCCTGATGGGGGCTTGCATTGCTGGAGCTGGCTCGTGGGATGATTGATACTGCTTCCCCCATCTTCCTGGTTTGTATGTTGCTTTTATAGATTTGTTATTTGTGGCTTAATCGGGGGGTATTTATATTTTTATTGTTTTATTGTTTTGATTTTTAATTGTAAGCTGCCCAGAGTCACCCTCTGGGGGAGATAGACAGCATAAACATTTAATAATAAATACATAAATAAATATTTCCCTTCTGTTTGGAAAGACTCTGAAATTTCTCATAGCAGAGAATTCTGGGCAAGTTCTGCATGTTAATTAAAAGAAATACGTTAGTGAACAATCTGTATTTATGTACATATGTGTACATGTATCTGTAAAATTATACTCATTCCTTTGTCAATTTAATTTACTTCTCCTGGGAAGGTGCCAAGGCCTGATGACTATTCTGCTCAGTACTATTCTGCTCATCCCACCTTTAGTGATGTCCTTAAGAAAGCCATATTCATTTGCAGGAAGCCAGGATATTTCATACAAAGTAAATATCTATTATAGCCAGCCTGGTAAAGGGAATTGGTCCTCAAGTGGGACAACCGTGTCCCTAGTTTTGTGTGGATTTGATTGCTGTGAATACCCATTCAGCTGACTTGTGAATAACTGTTTCTCCCAACCAGTATTGAAATAACTTGAATAACTTTTAGGTGGTTGTCTTGATCTGGTTGAATAATTGCTTTGAGGTGCTTTGGTCTAATAACTGGGTCCACCATCAAGGCTTTTAAACAATAACATGTTTTCTGAAAATTTGGAGGCTATTATAAACAAGCAAAGGAATCCTTATCCCCTTTAACTTTTCATAGAAACCTGGTTTGCACTGGTTGCCAGGAAGCAAGTTTTCAAACATTATGGTTTTTAGAGGCAAAATGCAAATGTATTTTGTTATAAGGCAATTAGGAATAGATAGATGATGCAGCACCTTTCCATTTGTTTATGTACAATGCTTGTATGTACATAATGTGTAAACATTTGTGTGTGTACATTTATGTACATATGTGTACATGTATCTGTAATCAGCTTTTTATTCCCTATATAAGCATAAACTCTGCATATGTGTCCAGGCTACAGTTACGTATTTGCTACAAATGAATTAGTTTGAAATCAATGAAATGGACATCAGGCAAGAATGAAGATTTATAATGTTGAAACAAATTTCTCTGCAGTAGGTTCTTTTTCCACCACCCGCTTTTTTAGAAGCATGTTCCCTTTGCCTCAATTACCCAGTTTTTATAACTGAAGGTAGAAATCATTGTTTCCTTCGCTCTTCTACGAGGTTAGTTGGTGCAACTCAATCCTATTCCTGTCACTTTATTGCTATGCTCAGCAGGCAAACTTAATTGCTTTTACCCAAGGAACAGAACTGACTTTTAATTAACTGAGTTCAGTACTATGGAGTCCTTGGTGCTCTCTGAGCTTGACTGCAGATGTTTCATGATTAGGTAACATTATCATTGCTTGTGAGTGTGGGGTTTTCTCCCTGTTCATATACAGTAGCTCACCCTACCAGTGTTGGTAGGGGTATGGTTTTCTCCTTAGTAGGTCCTTGAGTAGGGTATTGTTTTCTGCTTGATTGTTTGTCTGGTGTTAATTCCTGCTTATCTGGATGTAAGATGCTGGAGAGGATGTGTTCTGGTCTTTTTGTTTTCTTCTTAGCTTTCTTATTGTCTCTTTTGAATGGTGTGTAAATGTGGCTTATCTCTATGTGTCTATTGAGGGCTGATGGGTCTGAGTGCCAAGCTTCCAAGAATTTCCTAGTGTTTTTGGATTTAGCTTGGTCTAGGATGCTCACAGTTTCCCAGCTGAAACTGTGGTTGAGTCTGTCCATGTGTTAGGAGATTAAGGAGTTTTCATCAATAGAGAAGAATATATGTAGCTCAGGGTTGGACTGTAGCGTCTTTGGGGTTTTCTGAGCTTGGTTGTTTTCTTGCAGACGTTTCATTACCCAACTAGGTAACATCTTCAGTGCTAGAAAGGAGTGAGGTTTGCGCTTCATTTAAATACAGTAGCTTGCCCTGTCAATGTTTGAGTGTTTTTTTTTTCTTGATAGTTCCTAGATTAGGCTGTTGTTTACTGCTTGATTGTCTAAGTTGGTAGTTCCTTGATTAGGGTATTGTTTACTGCTTGGTTGCTTCTCTGGTGTTAATCCTGTTGTTAATCCCTGCTTATCTGGGTGTTGATTGCTGGTGAGGAGGTATTCTGGTCTTCTTGTTTCCTCTTTATTGTCTCTTTTGAATGGCATGCAAATGTTGTTTGTCTCTATGTGCCTGTTGGTGGCTGACTTGTCTGAATACCAAGTTTCCAGGAATTCCCTTGCATTTTTGGATTTAGCTTGGTCTAAGATGCTGAAAATTTCCCAGTTGAAACTATGGTTGAGTCTGTCCATGTGTTGTGAGATTAAGGAGTTTTCATTGTTCTTCTGACTGCTAATTGGTGTTCATGCTTCTGCTAGCCTTCTGCCTGTCTATCTACATAGTGACTGTTACAGTCCTTACACTATGTATGGTGTAGATTTCTCCTGTTTTTACTTCTTGAGCTACTGGGTCCTTTGGTTTACTTATGTTTTGGAGGGCTTTAGTTGGTTTGTGTGCTACAGTGATGCCACGTGGTTGTAATAGTCTGTTGGTTGTTTCTGAGATGTTTCTCAGTATCATCCTTTTCATAGCTTGTGTTGGTTGTGTTGTAGTGGGTTGAGTGGTCAGGCACTTTTTGATAAAGTTGCATGGGTATCCATTTTGTTGAAAGATGTTGTATAGGTGTGTTTCCTTTTTCTGCTGTTCTGGGTTGCTGCAGTGTGTTTATGCTCATCTGAATAATGTTCTTACGCAGCTCCTCTTGTGGGAGGTTAGTTGCATGGGTATCCATTTTGTTGAAAGATGTTGTATAGGTGTGTTTCCTTTTTCTGCTGTTCTGGGTTGCTGCAGTGTGTTTATGCTCATCTGAATAATGTTCTTACGCAGCTCCTCTTGTGGGAGGTTGGGTTGTTACTTTGGTAATGGAGCACTTGGTTAGTAGGGGTTGTTTTTTGATAGATTTGTGTTTCTAATTTGTTATTTCTTCTCCTGATGTGGGTATCCAGGAAGGGCAGTGTGTTATTTTCTTCTTCCCTTGTGAATTTTATTCCTTCAAAGATGTTGTTGATTATTTCATGTGTCTTCTCTTAGTTAATCCTTTTTTATTATGATGAAGGTATTGTCAACATACAGGATCCATACTTTCTGTTGTTATATGCATGGAAGTGCTATCATTTCTAGACACTGCATTACAATCTCTGCTAGGTCCTGAGAGTGGTGATCCCATGGATGTTCCTCTGATTTGTTGGTATATTTGTCCATCAAACTGAAAATAGGTAGTGTGGCAGAGGTTGATAAGGTCTATGATTCTGGGTATTTTGATCATAGTATATTTGGTCAGGTGTGTTGTGTAGTACTGCTGCCATGGATTCTTTCACTAGTTCTGGGTCTATGGATGTAAAGAGTGCTGTGACATCAATTGAAACCATAATTTTATCTTTATCTATTTTTAGGTCTTTGATTTTCATAGTTCTTTCACTATGTTGTATGTTGGGGTCCCTGGTAACGATACAATTGATCAAAGAGGTATGTCAGGCTTGTGTATTTTTGGGCGTCCATAGAAGTATGAGAGAATGGGTCCACTGCTTTTTATCACCACAGTTTTTCTTTTGTGATTTGACCTTTTAAGTCATTAAGGGTTCTCTCAACAAAGCAGCTGAAAATGATACAGCTAATGATCATGGATGCTCACCTCAGACTAAACAAATACCAGCACACCATAAATAATCTCAAGGAACAAGTGGAACAAACCATGATCCCAGAACACTGGCAGGGCAAGCTACTGTATATAAATAGGGAACAAACCCCACACTCACAAGCATTGATGATGTTACCTAGTTGGGTAATGAAAAGCCTCAATCAAACAACCAAGCTCAGAGAGCACCAAAGACTCCACAGTTCAACCCTGAGCTACCTACATTCTCTTCTATCAGTTCAGTACACTAGGATTTTCCCAGAATGGCTAGAATGGAATAGACCAGGATTTCTGTAATTTTATCTGCAGTTCAGTTCAGATCAAATGTGTGTGTGACTGGTAATCATAGGTCCAGCTAACCTATAAACTGAGAGTATTCTTTAAAATATTTTTCTTACATTCCAAACTGAGCTGTGTGTCTCATGGGCCATCCTGAAGGTCGTGAAGAGATTCTAATGACATCTTAAGTACTACTTCTTCTTCATCCAAAAACTCAGGCACATAGGCACAAATGCAGACTTGCAACTTTTACTGTTTACTTTCTGAACTAAAAGCTGCACTCATTTGCACATCCATACATTCTTACTTCACTCAAACCTAGCTAGTCAGGCTAGGAGAAGAAACAAGATGGGACACCTGTATTACCAAGGCCTGATCAGTCCCAGTCGCACCTTGGCACTTTTTTCTCACCTCCTACTATTTTTCCGCTAGACTGCCACTGCCTCATTCATTTGAGAATAATCTATTATTTTGAGAACTCAAATTTTTATCTTATTCAAAGTCTTCATTTGTGTACTTTTCCATATGCTACATAAGTTGGAATCATCTTGAACAAACTTTTCTACCTTTACAGCTAGCTTTGAGTGGGTCTCACATACTCATTTATTTTTTATATAATTTTATTAAAGAATTTTAAGAAGATAAAAACTAATACTAATATAAAGTAAGAAAAAGAAAAGAAAAAGAAAGAAAGAAATCAAAGAGAAGCTAAAAATGCAAGAAAGGGAAAAAAAGTAAAAGAAAAATAGAAAAGAAAGAAAAAAGATACAAAGAAGTAGCTTCCAATCTTCTTTACAGCAGTTATAGGTGCAATTATAAATTTGCCTCTTACTGTATGGTTACAACATAACCCTCTTCTTTCTATAATCTATTGTATCTAATCATCAAAACCATAAACCATAACTTCATTTTTTTCTGTTTTACACAAAAAGTCCATAAAGGGTTTCCAGTCAGGAATAAAATAGATATTGTCTTTTCTCTGATCAAAGCAGTCAATTTAGCCATCTCACCAATTCCATCATCTTCACCAACCATTCCTCCATTGTGTGTACTGCCAGATCTTTCTATCTTTGTGCATACAATAATCTTGCTGCAGTTATCATGTACAAAAACAAAGTTCCATGACTTTTTTTTCAACTGTTTGTCCATCAATCCCAAAAGAAAAACCTGTGGTCTCAATTGTATCTTAATCTTTAAAATCCTCTTAATCAGTGTATGTATTTGAATCCAGAATTTTCTAGCTTTTTTACACGTTCACCAAACATGATAAAAAGTTCTTTCTTGTTCACATTTCTAACATAAATTTGAAGTGCCTTTATACATTCTAGACAGTTTCTCTGGTGACATACCAATGGTGCGTCATTTTATAAAAGATAAATTTAGATATATCCTTGTGCTATTGTTTAAATAGTGCATCAGTTGTCAAAACAAGTACAGAATTGTCTGAAACAAAAACATCATTTTAGGCAAGACATTCATTTATCACAGAAATTCTCCCCAACAATGACAGTTGTAGTTTCTCCCATCATAACATCTTTTTTTAACTTCCTTCCATGTCTTAACATAGTTATTTTGAAATAACATACAGTTCATGTTTATCATAGTGATACCCACATATTTTACTTCTCAATCTTAAAACCCATTTTATTCATCAATTCTGTTTGATCTCCTATTTTCATATTTTTTGTTAACATCTTTATCTTCTGTTTATTAATCTTGAAACCTGCTAATGCACCAAATGATTTTAATTTGCCCATTAATATTTCAATTTTCTTTAAAGGACCTTCCAAAATCAGTACCAAGTCATCTGCAAAAGCCCTTAATTTATAAGTTTCTTTTTTAATCTGAACTCCCACAATCCTCTCATCTTGTCTTAAATCTCTATTCAGTATTTCAAGAACCAAAATAAACAATAGGGGAGACAGTGGGCATCCCTGTCTTGTTCCATTTG